AGCTGTTGGCCTATAATCGGTGGAAATATAGCGAATATAGAACGGAAGAAAGTTATATTTTCGTGGTAGTTGTGTAGAGTATCATATGGTCAATCCGACTATACTGCTCCCCTCATTCAGCAAATTTTTTTCTATAGAAAAAAGTAATACACAGGGGTATTGAGCAATTTTTGTTTATAGAAAAAAGTAATACTGAAGGAACCTGAGTAGTTTCATTCTATAGAAAAATTCTGAGGATTACGTCTCAGAGGACCTACGGATTGTTTTTATAGAAAAATTTAATCCCCAGAGGATCTAAGGAATTTATCCTATAGAAAAGAATAATTCTCAGGAGACCTGAGGCATTTTTTCTATAGAAAGGTGTAATTCTCAGGAAACTAAGGAATGTTTTCTGCAGGAAAAAAGTAATCCACAGGGGACCTGATGGTCAAGTAATCATGGGTAGGTGGTGCGTCTAGAACTAAAGACCAACACTGAAAATTCAAGAGAAATTCTCCTAAATTATTAGCATGAAAATGGACGGAAATGTCCAGCCATCGGACCAAACTAAAATGTAACCTAACCTAGTTAAGTTACAATGAACCTGAAGAAAATTATAAAAAATGCGAAAATAAATTTTGGGGTTTTCATATTTATTTTTTATAGAAAATTCCGTAACGATTTTTACCTAAAAATGTTTTCAGTAAAGAAAATTTATTTATTATTTTGTTCAAAATATTACAACAAATAATTCAATATTTCATCACTCAATTTGAAAGAAAAAATCCCACAAGAAATTCCCTAATCAATGAAATTCTAACAGTCAAAGTTGTAAAAATTGCATCACGTGCTTAGATATAGCAATAACAACAACATCATCATTAAACATTACGAAAATTACATTTATAATCACGATACATTGTTGTTGTTGTTTTTAGAAGTAGTAGGGTTTTTTTATAATTTTCACGTGTTAGAATATTTAATAAGAAATGAGCTGTGAGTAATTCATAAAATAATTGCCAATAATAGTTGATTACATACATATCCACTTCCATAAAATTTGAAAAATATTAATTTCTTCTTGGCTCTCTTTGATCTTTTCAATCTTATTCGTTTGTATGTGTGTTCATTTGTTGGATGTCTCACTGCGGCTAGTTTATTGTTGTTATATAACAATAATACATAAATTAACATAAAATCAACAACATTATGCCGACAACAAATGCCGGTATCAAACGGTATTTCATTATGGTCAAAACAGAGGTTTGTTGCCATGTATGCCCCCATCCGCGAACCACAAACTTGACCAGCTGTATCCAAAGGTTAATAAACTTAAAAATGGTAGATCAAATTTGTTCTTTTTTTGGATTTATTTTTTAATTTTGTTCATAAGTTGGATATTTCAATTATGTTTTAGATGATTTTTTTATTTTTTTTTGCCAAAAAAGAAGAAAAACATTTTTATGGTTGTAATAAAAAAATGTTAATTTATTAAAAGATCAGCCAAGCCTGAAGCTGTGGCGTGTTAAGAAGTGAAATGCTTTAAATAGTAGATTAATTAAAAAAACATTACATGTTTTTTATTGATGTTTTGTAGAGTTTCTAGAGTGTGACGTTTAACAAGTTCGCTAAATTAGCAAAAAAAAAGAAATATTAAAACTATGTTAACATCGAAGAGTAGCATAAGTCGAATGATATTTTTATATGAGTTTCTCGAATATCAAAGTATTAATTATATAGTTTAGAAACTATAAATAAAATTGGCGTTGGGCGCCAAACATATTAACATTTTTATACCCTCATCTATATGGATATTTATATCATCGGCCTTATGAGAATATATTATATTTGCTCGGCAAAAAATGTGCCACATGGAAATATTGATTTTAGACACGTAGTGGATTTGAACTAATAATTTTGGGTCGATTTACATATGACCGCCCGTTCGTCAGTGCCTTATCTTGGCACTGACGAACGGGCAGAAGAATGAAACCAATTTCATTCAAACTTTATACATCGCAACATTTCTTTCAAACATAAATCCAGTTCGAATGTGGAGAATATCTATTAATTCCTTCTGGTACAAGCCCCACAAAATGATCAATGTTATGGTGCAATTTGATTTTATAATAAAAAAGCGAACGGTGTTATCGACTCGTACGACAGTTTTCACCACCAAAAAAATTAACCTAACCTGTAAAACCTTTAGCATGAAAAAATATTCTAAAAAACACCCACTTCTTTTACACAAGGCCTTGAAAAAATATTGTTAAAAAACACATGCCTATTGATCGAGTATCCATTAAAAAGGTTTATAAAAAATTCAGGATTCTTTCTCGAAACCCAGTAAGGAAAGTAGTAAAGTCGGACGGGTCGACTATATGATACCCTTCACCACTTTGGATATATTCAACTGTTGAATCCTAAAAGACGTCGTTCTTTTAAAGACCATAAACATGAATTTTCATCTATAAACATGTCATTCTGCAGCCTGTACCAAATTTTTCAGTTGGTTAGATATAGAATTGCTTCTTACAATGGGATAATCTCATGTAAACTAATTAGTACTAATTTCAGTATGTCACTTACTTAAAATCGGGAGAAAACATATATGGGAGGTCTATCCAAATCTGCACCGATTTCAACAAAACTTTCGACACGCTAGGTTAAACTAACTTCAGTACGTTGTGCAAAATGTTGTAGAAAACGGCCTAACTTTGGGTCTTTGGTGCAATCGGACGAAACTATATATAGGAGCTATATCTAAATCTGAACATATTTCAACAATACTTGTCACACTTTATGTTATGGTAACTTCAGTACGTTGTGCAAAAATTTGTAGCAAACGGCCTAACTTCGGGTCTTTGGTTCACCTTTTATTCAAAAACGGGCGATATGTCTAAATCTGAACCGACACTTAGCACATATCACTCTAGTCTAGTCTAGAGTTTGGTGCAGAATTTATACCTAACTTCAGTACGCTATGCCAAATTTTGTTCAAATCGAAAGCTATATAGGGACTTTGGTGCACCATTTACATTAAATCGGAAAAAGCTATATATGGGACCTATATCTAAATCTAAACCGATTTTCAAAAAACTGAACACACATCATTCCAGACCTAATTCATTACGCTATGCCTCATTTCGTGCAAATCGAAAGATATATAGGGACTTTGGTGGACCAATTACATTAAATCTGACGAAAATATATATGGGAGCTTTATATAAATCTGAACCGATTTTCACGAAACTTGACACACATCACTCTAGTCCTAATTAAGTGCGCTATGCCAAATTTCGTGCAAATCGAAAGATATATAGGGAATTTGGTGCGCCATTTACATAAAATCGGACGAAAATATATATGAGAGCTATATCTAAATCTGGACCGATTTTCACGAAACTTAGCACACAATACTCTAATCTTAATTCAGTAGGCTGTAAATCGAAAGATTTTCGAAACTTAGCACACATCATTCTAGGCCTAATTCAGTACACTGTGCCAAATTTCGTGTAAATCGGAAGATATATAGGGACTTTGGTGCACCATTTGCCTTAAATCGGATGAAAATATATATGGAAGCTATATCTAAATCTGAACCGATTTTAACAAAACTTCGCAGACATCAGTCCTAACCTAATTCCGTACTCTGTGCAAAATTTTGTCCCAATCGGAATAATATTTCTGAGTTTGGTTTATCATTCACAAAAAATCGGACCGAATTATATATGGGAGCTATATCAAAATCTGAACCGATTTTCTCCAATTTCAATAGGATTCGTCCTTGGGACATATAAGTGAACTGTGCCAAATTTCATCCAAATCGGATCATAAATGCGACCTGTACTTTGTTCACAAAAATACATGGACGGACAGACAGACAACCTCGACTCAGAAAGTGATTCTATGCATATTCTCAAAAGGAAAGGAACAAATTATTAATGAAAACTCCAGAACTATTTCTCGAAATGCCCTTAAAAAAGACCTCCAGGCATTGAAAAAAAAAATAAAATATCCATGCCTATTAAGATCTTCTCGCCTATTGTAGGCCTTAAAAAAATCTTCTTTAAAAATTCCACGTCTACTGTCGGCATTGAAAACATATTTGTAAAAAATATACGGGAAAACAAGTCTAGCCTCTTGATCAAGAAGCCTTGAAAGTTGTTGTTCGCTTAGTCCTTGAAGAAAATATTAGAAAAAAATACCGATCGTTCGGTTTAAAAAATCCTCGCCCATTGTTCGATTAGCTATTAAAAAATCCAATATATTCTAAAGCTGTTATCACTTTGTTGTATATTAACTACTAGTTGAAATTTTTTCTGTGAGCTGTTGTCGTAATTATTCAGTTTCTCACATCGAGAAAAATGCTGTTGTTTTTATTATATAATATCTCACTGACATTGACATTAAATAGTGTTCCTCATTAGTAATGAGTCATTACTCGAACAGCTGGATTTATTTATCAAATGTTGTACAGAATTTTTGAAAAAAAGAATACATATAAGAATAGTATAATAATTATTGTATAATAATGATATTAAAATCACTGTGGATATATGGGACAAAGTATAAAAATATAACCAATCTTTGCCATGCGAATAAAAAACATATCCTGAAAATAAGAATAATAATAAATTGATTATTTTTGTGGTTTTCTTAACACTGTGCACTGCTCCAAACTATTTATTATTATTTATACTAATTTGCTAATTTGAAATGTAAACATAACATTCCAATAGGAATTGGTTCTCTTCTACTCAAAAATGTTTGAACTTGAATTGTTATTGCTTAAATATCTTCCTATAGAGCATCATCTTACCCGAACATCTCACTTAAAGCGAACTAATCATTTCACTATTTAATTTCATTTTTTCCATTTGTTTTCTTTATTTTCAGAAACTAAAATAAACAAAAATCACCGGTACGGCACGCCAAAGCGCAAATACCTCCCATTAATTTACGTTAATTGCTGCGTGGGACCAGTCGTCATTAGGCAGTGAGGTAAACCACGCCACCGTCATGGAGACTGAATCATTAAATCGGAAAAATTCTTCGCGAAAGAGTTCTGTGGTAAATGGAAATGGTGAGGCTGCGGCAAAAGTCGAGGCCGATGGAGGCGGTGAAGTAACGCTAAAGGCGAAAATGAGTTTGATCAATGGCTGTACGGTTATTGTTGGGTCCATCATTGGTTCGGGTATTTTTGTATCACCCACCGGTGTGCTGATGTACACGGGCAGTGTGAATTTGGCTTTAATTGTTTGGGTGGTATCCGGTATATTTTCAATGGTAAGTAATGTTAATAATTTAAAATAAACAAGTCAATTAAGACCTTGAAAAAATATTTTTAACCAGTAAGGAAAGTAGTAAAGTCGGACTGGGCTGACTATATGATACCCTTCACCACTTTGGGTATATTCTACATATGTATCCGAAAAACGTCGCCTTTTTGAAGGAATTTTGACATGAAATTGAACGAACTTGAAATGTGATTTTTATGTCTTCCTAGAACCAATGCTAAAATTTAGACTCGTTTGCGACGGATTTGTGTAAATCGATTTAAAGCAAACTTGACACACGCTATTCGGTATGCTGCACTGTTTAAAATTTAATCTCAATAAAAAAGTCGAAATTATATATGGAAGCTACGATATATCTAGATCTGAACCGATATGAAGCAAGCATGCCAGAGATTAATTTATATCAATTTCAGTACGTTGTGTCAATCGGCCTAGCTGTTGATCTTTAGTGCACAATTTACTTAAAATCGGACGAGGTGGTGTACACATCATTCTACACTTAATTCAATAAGCTATGCCAAAATTCGTGCAAATCGAATGATTTTTCAATTCCGAAATTCAATTTCAATAGGGTTCGTCCTTGGGCCAAACAAATGAGCTGTACCAAATTTCATCCAATTCGGATCATAAATGCGACCTGTACTTTGTTTACAATTTAACATGGACAGACGGACGGACGAACGGACATGCATAAATCGACTCAGAAAGTGATTCTATGCATATTCTCAAAAGGAACCATGGGCCCATCACGATTATTTTTGCCTGTTACAAACATATGCACAAAGGCATAATACCCTGTACCACAGTGTGGTGAAGGGTATAAAAACCCAGGCCTGTTGTAAGCCTTGAAAATTGTATTTTTTAATCCACTAATTTTGTAGGCATAGAAAAAATATCCACGTCTATTGTAGGTATTGAAAAAAATATTCTTCATAAATCCACGCCTATTGTAGCCCTAGAAAAAATATTCTTCAAAAAATCCACTCCTATTGTAGGCCTTGAAAAAATCTTTTTAGAAAAATCCATGAACCCCTTTTCGCCAAGGAACCTATACTATAAATTATGACTATTTGCCAACAATATTAAATCAATTCGATAATTATTTTGAAACATTGTATCTAGTACAAAAATTATAATAAAAAAATCCCACCTGTGATATCAAACTGGTATTTAAAAGACGATAAAAAGTCAAATAGTATTTTTGTTTACTTCGTAAAATGTAAATATGAATTAATGGCAACGACCACCTGAGACATATTCGATGAACAAGAATAAAGCCAATTGTTGGCTAATGAAACATTACTACGAATATTTATTTATCACATCATTCATGAACACACTTTTTCGATAGACACCAGCCCATTTGTAGATGTACTACTATCTACTTCGTATTCCATCTGTGGAATGGACCCCACCCCTACTTGACGATATACAATATAACACCTAATCCATATGGGAACAATTATTACGGTGAATGAAGACTACCGCTGAGGTGCTTTTAATGTAAATTGTTAAGCGTCGACTTGTCGTTCGGTTGACGATTGTCACCTGTTGCTGGTGGTGCTGCTGCTACTATTATTTGCATTGATATTAGCACGATTACACGTTGTACATGATTCTAATACTTTCTTCTTCATCATCGTGTCATACCTGTTTCACTGGCTACCTTATAAATAATTCAATATTTATTGCTGGTTTGGAAAACAGATGTTTGATGCGTTAATTGAACTAGTTTAAATTGGATTTGAGATTCAAATTAATGTTGGAATATTGATGTAGGTTGTAGGGTGATTTGTTTAAATATTTTTTAGGGGCTACCAATAGGCGTGGATTTTTATACCCTACACAACTATGTTGTCAGGGTATTATAGCTTTGTGCAGCCCCAAGAGTTTGTAACGCCGCGAAATATTGGTCCTAGACCCACCATTAAGTATACCGATCGTCATATCTCGACTAGCTGAGTCGATCTAGACATGTGTGTCCGTCCTTCCGTCTGTCCATTATAATTTGTAAACACGATAAAGGCCACAGTTATGGACCAATTTTCACGAAATTGTGCATTTAGGATGGGTTCTGGCCAATGTTTTTGGTAAAGATCCGTTAATATTTAGAGGATGTAATGGACCAAATACTTAATTTTTATCGGTTATTCGGGTCGCTCTAGAGGCCGCAATTATGACCCAAACATCGCGAATTTTTACATAGAGAAGGGGATCGGGCCAAAGAATATAGCTTGCCTGTTTTGATAAGGATAGGTCAATATTTAGCGGGTCAAATGGACCCTGACTTTTGTGTGAACAATTACAAAATTTGTATTCTATAGCGTATAGATTTACCCCTGAAGGACATATACCCGACCTATATTCAAGGGCAGTGGTTGACCTTTAAATTGATATCAATTATATGGTCGTATGTACTCGGATGTGGGAGTTACACTTAAACATTTGCAGGTGCTTATGTATTCAGATATTATTTAGTAACCCTTTACAACGCTAATATCGCGAAATATTGCCCAAGCTCAGAATATAGATCCACAGAAAGTTAGTTTTTCGTGGAAGTTGTGTAGGGTATCATATGGTCGGCCCCGTCCGACTATACTGCTCCACTCACTGGTTTAAAAATATTTTTAAAGAGCTACCAATAATACAGGTCGCATTTATAATCCGAATTGAATGAAATTTGGCACTGGTCACTTTTCGGTCCAAGGACGAACCCTATTGAAATTGGGAAAAATCGGTTCAGATTTAGATATAGCTCCATATATATTTTCGTCCGATTTTAGGTAAATAGTGCACCAAAGTTCTTATATATCATTCGATTTACACGGAATTTGGTATAGAGTACTGAAAGGAGTCTAAAACGACGTGTTTTAAATTTCGTGAAAATCGGTTCAGATTTAGATATAGCTGCCATATATATATATTTTCGTCCGATTTTAGGTAAATAGTGCACCAAAGTTCCTATATATCATTCGATTTACACGGAATTTGGTATAGAGTACTGAAAGGAGTCTAAAACGACGTGTTTTAAATTTCGTGAAAATCGGTTCAGATTTAGATATAGCTGCCATATATATATTTTCGTCCGATTTGACATAAATATTGCACCAAACTCCCTATATATCTTTCGATTTGCACGACATTTGGCATAGTGTACTGAATTGAGTCTAGAATTGTGTGTATTAAGTATCGTGAAAATCGGTTCAGAGTTCCTATATATCCTTCGATTTGCACGAAATTTGGCATAGCGTTCAGAGTTCCTATATATCATTCGATTTGCACGAAAATTGGCATAGCATACTGAATTGAGTCTTGAATGATGTGTGTCAAGTTTCGAAAAAATCGGGTCAGATTAAGATATAGCTTTCATGTATATTTTCGCCCAATTTAAGGTAATTGGTGCACCAAAGTACCTCTATATCTTTTGATTTTCACGAAATTTGGCATAGCGGACTGAATTAAGTCTATAGTGATGTGTGTTAAGTTTCGAGAAAATAGGTTCAGATTTCGATATAGCTCCCATATATATTTTCGTCCGAGTTAATGTAAATGGTGTACCAAAGTCCCTATATATCTTTCGATTTGCATGAAATTTGGCACAGCGTACTGAATTAAGTATACAATGATGTGTGTTAAGTTTCCTGAAAATCGGTTCAGATTTAGATATATCTCCCATATATATTTTCGTCAGATTTTAGGTAAATAGTGCACCAAAGTTGCACGAAATTTGACATAGCGTACTTAATTCAGTCTAGAACGATGTGTGTTAAATTTCGTGAAAATCGGTTCAGATTTAGATATAGCTCCCAAATATATTTTCCACCGATTTTAGGTAAATAGTACACCAAAGTCCATATATATCCTTCGATTTGCACAAAATTTGGCATAGCGTACTGAATTGAGTCTAGAATGATGAGTGGTCAGTTTCGTGAAGATCGGTCAGATTTAGTTATAGCTCCCATATATAGTTTCGTCCGATTTGAGGTCAATAGTGTACCAAAGTCCCTAATGATATATCTGTAATTCTTCTATATTTTATTTGTTTTTCATAAAAGCAGATGTATTTCAAAGAATCGAATATCTTCAAAGCCATTCCAAACATATAATTTATTTATTTACTTATCCCATTATTTCAATTAAATTGAATATTTTACTCGCATTCCTCCTCCATTTACACTTCATAAATATTTGAGGGCTCTGCTTGACATGCCATCATAGCCAGCAGCAGAAGAAATTGTAGGCATTTCATTTTGTACAAGGGTTCTTGTTGTGGCGGTATGCCATCCTGCCACAGGCATTGACAATAATGAAATTACTCTGGAATTCCTTTAGCTGCCACTACAAGAACAGGAAGTCATAACATTCAGAATTATTGAAAGTCAAATGCATACATATCTCATTACTATTCTCTTAACGTCCTGCTCCAAGCCTCCAGGAATATTTACTCCTTCTCTGGCTAAGGAGTCATATTAAAATATTGAGTATTTCTTGTCATTCTCAAGTTGTTCGTTGTGGGTGGGCGAAATTCCTTCACTTGCAGTGTACATTCCTCTCTGACACACTTGAGAACATCAAGTGTCAATGTTTATGGACGATGATGACGGCGACGACCGTATCGATGTCGATAACAACGAATTGGCGTGACATCAATGCTAGCCAAGTTGTTGATTGTCTATTGGAGTCCAACCACTATGGCGAAAATAAAAAAACAACAACGTGTTAGGAATTTCCATTTTTCTAATTTAATTGATTTTAGAAAAACAAAAAATGTGCGTTGGTGGTTTTTCTCGGGTATTCGTATACGAGTACAAACATATTTCCGGAAAATTAAATATTTAATCAATAGCTCACTTGCTTTGTCTATATGGAGTATTTCTGCCCAAGGCGGATTATAAGGAATCTCTTTATGGAGGATTGTCGAAGCTATAAGCGTAATTTTTAAGGCCCATCAGAGGGCGGATTTTTAAGAAAATTGTTCAAAGAACAACCGAATTTTTTTATATATTTTTAACTCTTAAGAATATTCGTAGATTTTTTTCGAGATATTTTTCGAAGGCATGTCAATAGGCGTAGACTTTTAAAAGTATTTTTGAAGAGCTACCAATAGGCGTAGATATTTTATTATAACCTTCACCACACTGTGGTACAGGGTATTATGTCTTTGTGTATATGTTTTTAACAGGCAAAAGGAAACGAGAGAGATACATGGTTCCTTTTGAGAATATGCATAGAATCACTTTCTTAGTCGATTTATGCATGTCCATCTGTCTGTCCATGTTCATTTGTAAACAAACTACAGGTCGCATTTATAATCCGAATTGGATGAAATTTGGCACAGGTCACTTATTCGGCCCAAGGACGAACCCTATTGAAATTGGGAAAAATCGGTTAAGATTTAGATATAGCTCCCATATATATTTTCTCCGATTTTAAGTAAATAGTGCACCAAAGTCCCTATATATCCTTCGGTTTGCACGAAATTTGGCATAGTGTACTGAATTGAGTCTAGAATGATGAGTGGTAAGTTTCAGGAAAATCGGTTCAGATTACGATATGGCTCCCATATATACATTCGTCCGATTTAAGGTAAAAGGTGCACCAAAGTCAGTAACTATCTTTCGATTTGCACGAAATTTTGCACAGCGTACTGAATTGGATGTAGAATGATGTATGCTAAGTTTTGAGAAAATCTTTCAGATTTAGATATAGATCCCATATATAGTTTCGTCCGATTTTAGGTAAATGGTGCACCAAAGTCCCTATATATTTTTCTATTTGCACAAAATTTGGCATAGGGTAGTGAATTGGATGTAGAATGATGTGTGCTAAGTTTCGTGGAAATCGGTTCATATTTAGATATAGCTCCAATATATATATATTCGTCCGATTTTATCTAAATGGTGCACTAAAGTCCCTATATATCTTTCGATTTGCATGAAATGTGGCACAACGTACTGAATTAAGTCTAGAAAGATGTGTGCCTAGTTTCGTGGAAATCGGTTCAGATTTAGATATAGCTCCCGTATATATTTTCGTCCGATTTAAGACAAATGGTGCATCAAAGTCCCTACTTATCTTTCGATTTGCATGACATTTCACAGCGTACTGAGTTAAGACTAGAATAATGTGTGTTAAGTTTCGTGGAAATCGGTTCAGATTTAGATATAGCTCCCATATATGTATTCGTCCGATTTAATGTTAATGGTGCACCAAAGACCCTATATATTCATAGATTTGCACGAAATTTGACATAGCGTACTGAATTGAGTCTAGAATGATGTGTGTTATGTTTCGTGAAAATCGTTTCAGATTTAGATATGACCCTATATATATTTCGTCTGATGGTACACCAAAGTCCGAATATATTTTCGATTTGCACGAAATTTGGCACAGCATACTGAATTGTGTCTAGAATGATGTGTGTTAAGTTTCGAGAAAATCAGGTCAGATTTAGATATAGCTCACATATATATTTTTTGTCCGATTTAAGGTAAATGGTGCACCAAACTCCTAATGTTAACACGAAATTTTGCACAACGTATCCAATTGAGACTTGAATGACGTTATTGGGGTTTGTTAAAATTGGCGCGAATGTAGCCATAGCTTCCATATGTATTTCGAACGGGTATCTGATTGAGATTAAATAAATATGGTGCAGAAAGACATGAGTATGTTCCTTCGAGGGAACATTGACATACAATTGTAAGGATACATATGTAGAATATACCCAAACTGGTGAAGGGTATCATATAGTCGGCCCAGTCCGACTTTACTACTTCCCTTACTGGTTAAAAATATGTTTTTAAGGGTTAGCAATAGGCGTAGTCTTTTTAAATAAACATTTAATAAAAAAATCAGTCAATGGAATTATTTTCTGCCACGCGACCACCTAGTGTCAACAGATCAGGAATAATTATCTAGTAAGATTCAAATTAAATATTAATTAAATATATCAGCATCATTTGAATTTTATATATGACAAGCTATTATAAATTAGTTTCTCCAATTAAAATATTTTAAATCCCATATGTAATGGTGATTACACTCATCATTACTCTCATCACCACTTTTTTCTTTAATTTCAATTTTAAATAAATATCATATTTGTTTTTCTGTTTCAGGTCGGTGCCTATTGCTATGCGGAATTGGGTACAATGATTACAAAGTCCGGTGCTGATTATGCCTATATTATGGAAACATTTGGTCCATTTATGGCCTTCATACGTCTGTGGATTGAATGTATGATAGTGCGGCCGTGTTCGCAGGCAATTGTCGCGCTCACATTCAGTGTTTACGTGCTGAAACCATTCTTTCCCGAATGTACACCACCCGAAGATGCAGCCAGGCTATTGGCTGTATGTTGTATATGTAAGTAACAATTGTGAGTGGATTAAATCTCGCAGTTAACTACGATAAGAAGAGTTTCAATATAAAATGACTATTGACCCTTGCATTAATCCAGGAACTCAAAAAATATGTTTACTTGTTTGTTATGGAATCACAATAAATAAACATTTTATTTGTTATTGTATTTGCAACAGATAGTAGTCATAAATTTGTAGTTCATCCGACAAACTCTATTATTTATTCAAATTGAGATGGACGTTTCAAGACTAATGTAATTTATTGGAAAAATTACATCAGACGGATTGAAGATATCTCTGGAAGTTGAAGACAAAGAAAGATATTTTAAGGTCTAGCAAACACATTTGAATCGTGTCTTGTGAATTAATCTTCACAATCGTAAGAAAACGCTTCCCTTTCATTAATGCCTTTAGTTTTGGGCAGAGGAAAAGATCGATGGATATTGTAGGTCAGCCCTTTTGCAAGCCTGATCCACAATATACAATATGTTCCTCCCTTCTTTGTGGTCAAGGTAAAAGGTCATGTAGAAGTAGGACGGTGCGCACATGTTGAACAAAATCTAATATACTATTGGCCACATACAAAATGTACGAATTTTAAAAGATTTTCTTCGAAATTTTGACAAAATCATTATGTTAAATAGGTTCCAGAAGGAGAGTAGAGGAACTTCGTGTAATTTGGACAACCATTTTGTAAGTATTCAGTACTCTGAACACTCTGTGCATGCTCTGTACTAGCTGACTTATGACAGAACGGTTGCTTAAAAAAGATTTCCAGGCGCGTCGGTCTTGTGCGCATCTCATCCATTTTGAAAGACCATTTCCGAGATGCCTACTACTTAATATTTTCATCGGATTCGTGGCCTTCCCCCTCTCACTTGGCTAGCTTTTATATGCCTTTTGAGCTGGGGCATCTTCATCCATTCTCACAAAATGGCCTAGCCAACGTAGTAGTCGCTGCAGCTCGATCCGTCTGACTATATCGTTATCTGAGAATAAATTGTATAGCTCATGGTTCATTCGACAGCGATATTCACCATCGACGCAGATCGGCTCATTGATCTTCCGGAGAAATTTTCTCTCAAACACTCCAAGAGCTGCCTCATCTGCTTGCGCAAGTACTCATGCTTCAGATCCATACAACATCACGGGTAATATCAGCGTCTTGTAGAGTGTGAGCTTGGTCTGGTGAGAGGTTGCCTTGATTTTGAGTTGCTTACTCAGACCATAATAGCATCTGTTGGCCAACACTATTCTCCTCCGGATTTCACAGGTTATGTTATACGTTTTTTTATGGCGGTACCTTGGTATATGAAATCGTACACAACCTCGAAGCTGTAGTTTTAAATTTCCGCAGTTGGTCCGAGTCTACCAGACGTCTTGCCAGACCCACTTTGGCAGACTCCTTCTCAATTCCTTCAAATATGGCTGTTACCGCTCGCAATGTTCGACCCATTATATGGATGTCGTCAACGTAGGCGGGTAACATATGCTGTTTGGTGCACAGAGTGTCATTTATGTTCACATTTGCATCTCGTATGACCTTTTCAAGCAGGATATTGAACAGGTCACACGACAAACTGTCGCCTTGTCTGAATCCTCGTTCGGTATGAAAGGCTCCGAGAGGTCCTTTCCTACTTTAACTGCTGACATTGTACCAGTTAAAGTTATCCTGCATAGCCGTATTAATTTTGTAGGTATGCCAAAGGCAGACGTGGCTTTAAACACCTCTGAATAAATAGGGCTGTCGAAATCGGTTTTATAGTCGACGAATAGGTGGAATGTGTCGATGTGTTTTTCGTAAGGGGTTTTCCAGGATCTTGCGCAGAGTAAAAATCTGATCAATGGTGGATTTGCCAGGCCTGAAGCTGCATCGGTATGGTCCAATGATGTCATTGACTATTGGCTTCAATCATTCACACAGCACGCTGGATAGCACTTTATAGGAGACGAGAAGGAGACTTATTCCTCTATAGTTGGTACATATCGTCTTGTCTCTTTTTTATGCTCGGAACACAGGATGCTAAGGTTCCAATCATTGGGCATGTATTCCTCTAGTCAAATTGTACAAATGAGGTCTTGAATAGTTCGGCTGGTAGCCAATCGACACCTGCTGCTTTATTGTTCTTCAACCGATTAATTGCTACTGTGGACCTCATCTTGGCTAGGTGGTATGCATTCTATACCGTCATCTCTCTTATTGGCTCTGGGGTATCTTCTTCACCGCCACTATTTGATACAAGAAGCTTTTCAAACTGCTCTTTCCAGATCCTCAGCACGCTATCTGTATTTGTCACCAGGTTTCCATCTTCATCTCTACAGGAGGATGTGCATGCGCCAAAACCTTCGTTTTGGTGTTTTACTCGTTGGTAAAATTTCCTGGCTTCATTCTGATACCTGTACATTTCGATTTGCTCACGCTTCGTTTTTCTTGTTCTTTCTTTTTTTTCTGAAAATGCGTTTCTCCTCTCTCCCGATAATTCTCCATCGCGTTACGTGTTGCTACTGTTTGCAGGGTTGCCCTATACGCTGCATTTTTCGCCTCGGTAGCATTACGAAACTGGTGATCGTACCATGGGTTTCTTGATGGTGGTTTTTGGTATCCAAGCATTGCTTTTGCTGCAGTTTGTAGGGAGTGCGTAATTCTTTGCCATTGTGCTTGTATACTATTATCGGGAAAAGAAGTGCTTTCGTCAAGCAGGTGGATAAGTTGAGCGGAGTAGGCTTCTGCTACCTTTTGTGTTTGCAGTTGTCGACGTCGAGTTTCCGTGTTACATTAGATCGCACCTTTGCTGCTACATTAAGACGGGTGCGAACCTTGACTGCCACAAGATAATGTAATCGATCGAACGTCTAAAACACTGGACGAATGCCTTCTGTCTATCACAACAATTTGATTTCTCGTTGCTTAATCAGGAGAAATCCAGGTGGCCTGTGTATATCGAGATGCTTGAATCTGGTGCTGCTAACTACCATGTTTTTTACTGCCGCAAAGTCAATTAACCTCATGCCGTTGTAAGATAAATATTTTTCCTTCCGATTTTTGCATTAAAATCTCCTAGCAGAATTTTAATGTCATGGCCAGGGCAGCGGTCATATGCTGTTTCTAGGCGCTCGTAAAATATGTCTTTGGTCTGCTCATCTTTGTCTTCCATCGGAACATGGGAGCAAATAAGACTGATGTAGAAGAACTTCGCTTTTATGCGGATTATAGATATTCGCCCATCTACTGGAGTGAATTTGGAGATGAGGTCTTTTATTCTCCTGTTGACCATAAATCCGCAGCCATATTCTTGTCTCGTTTCATGACAGCATGAAGCTATAGCTTCATGCGTAGTCGTTTGATTTGCTTACGCCAAAGCGAAAACTGCGTCAGTTCTGTACAACGTGCTCACATTCCAAGTGCAGATTCGCATATCGTAATCCTTTATACGTTTGCTGGGGTCGTCAACATTAGGGAGTTTGGTTTTCTTATTCTTTGTTTTTTTATAGTAGGAGGGGTTTTCCGAATGTGGGCAACTAAACCGACGCCTCAACCCATTTTTTAATAGTTCTTATGGGTTAACTCCCGGCAATTATCAGCTCACTATTTGAACGGGTGATGAAAATAACTACCCCAGGTGATACCGCGGTAGAGCTATAAAAACATGGGTTGAGATCGTCGGGTTAGTTGCCCAGTGTCCACAATTGAGATGAAAGAGGGACCAAGATAATCCTGGACTTCGCCATGTTAAAGTCAATCAGAGCCGTTACTTTGTATCTATCATCCCCTACGTCTCCCGCTGAGACTCCTTATAAATTCAAATCTCCATTTCCCCATAAATATTAATAGCAACCCATAAAATTCCTATTTAGTCCCTTCCTAATAAATAAATATTTGTTTTCTTCATTTCAGTAATCCTGACATTTGTTAACTGTTGGGACGTCAAATGGGCAACCGCTGTGCAGGACATATTCACATACGCCAAAGTAAGTAAAAGACACACATTCGTCCTGCTGCTCGAATGATAAAACATCATAAACTGATTTGTCTTTTCGTTTCATCTCTCCTTTTTTTCCTTAATCCATTTACTAGCTGTTGGCCTTGTTTATCATCATTGCATCGGGCATGTATCAACTTTACTTGGGCAATACCGAATATTTCACATTTGAAAATACCGATACAAAAGTCACATCGCTGGCCCTATCATTTTACTCGGGATTATTTGCCTACAATGGATGGTAAGTAAAGGAAAATGGTAGGAAGGGGCAAATGGATGGTCAGGATATAAAAATGGGGAGCATAACGCAATTCATGGATACACATCCGTGCGACCGAGGATGTGCTGTTATTGAAGGTTGCGAAATGTCACTACTTGTTGCTTTACGTTGCTGCTTTATTTTGCTTTTTTTGTCATTACAATTGGAAGTCATGAAATGAGTAGATAGTCAGTATGAAAATAATAGGATTTTGTGATTTGATTATTTTTGCTGACCTCTCTTACATGACGGGACGGGGAATAGTTGTGGGTGAAAAGAAGATGTGGAAATGGCAGTTGAAGTTAATTGAGTTATACTGGTTATTTAATGATGATGCTGTCGCTGTTATGTATATATGTTATTAGGGAATAGCTAATAAGGTTATGTTGAGATCAAGGAGAAACATATTGTTTTCCTTTGGGAATAAAATTTTTATGGTTTGCATTAAAAATAATAGTATTAGATTGTCGGATTTAGTAAACAAGTAAAAAACGTCATTATGTTCAGACGGGCCAAACTTATTATACACTCCACCAAGTGGTGTGCATATGGGGACTATGTTATTACATTATGTGGTAGAAGGTTCTTCATGATCTAAAAAAATAATATTCCAAATTGCAGAAACTCAGGTTGGAAAACTGGGGTAGGAAGGGAGATAATGTAAAGCATTAAACTATATTGAATAATTTCAGGAAAGAAGGTTCTTATTCGTCAGAAATCCAATAAGCCAAATTATAGTCATTTCGATGAGAAAGTTCGGTTAAGAGATTATTAATGCAAAAATGGGGCAAGACCTCTCTCAGAACTTGGACTTATATAGACAGTATATCACAAAAATGTGGTATGCTGCAGCACAGTGCACTGTCCACATATGGAACAGACGTAGGCTACTCGGTGAACAATTTACACAAAATCAGACGAAAATATATATGGGAGATGTATCTAAATCTAAACAGATTTTTGCAATTTTAATACACATCACTTTAAACTCACCTCTTTAAAATTTCTTATAAATCGAACAAACATTGTGTTCTTCGGCGCACCATTTACATAACATTGAAGGAAATATATTTGGGAGAATACGTCTAACTGGACATAACTCAGTACACTGCACAAAATGTTGTCCAATCGGAAAAATGTTGGGAGTTTGGTGCACCATTTATATAAAATCGGACGGAAACTATATATGGGAGCTATATCTATATCTGATCCGATGAAACTTAACACAAACTATCCTATTCAATTCCATACGATATGCCAAATTTCGTCATAATCGGACAAATATTGGGAGTTTGGTTCACCATTTACATAAAATCGGACGAGACTATATAGGGGAGATATATCTATATCTGATCCGATTTCAATGAAACTCTATCCTTCTTTCAATTCCATACGACATGCCAAATTTCGTCATAATCGGACAAATATTGGGAGTTTGGTGCACCATTTATATAAAATCGGACGAGACTATATATGGGAGATATATCTATATCTGATCCGATTTCAATGAAACTCTATCTAACTTTCAATTCCAAACGAATTGGGAGTTTGATGCACCATTTACATAAAATCGGACAAAGTTCCATATGGGAGCTATATCTATATCTGATCCGATTTCAATGAAACTTAATACACCCTATCCGACTTTCAATTCCAAACGATATGACAAATTTCGTCACAATCGGACAAAAATTGGGAGTTTGGTGGACCATTTACCTAAAATCGGACAAAGCTATATATGGGAGCTATATCAATATCTGATCCGATTTCAATGAAACTTAACACATTCTATCCTACTTTCAATACCATACGATATGGCAAAAATTAGGATTTTGGTGGACCATTTACATAAAATCGGACGAAGTTCTACATGGGAGCTGTATCTATATCTGATCCGATTTCAATGAAACTTAACACATCCTGTTCGAATTTCAATTCCATACATATGCCACATTTCGTTACAATCGGACAACACTTGGGAGTTTGGTGGACCATTTACCTAAAATCGGACGAAGATCTAAATCGGAACCGATTTCAACAAAATACAGACATCAAACGGGACCTAATTCAGTCCGTTGTGAAAAATTCCGTCTCGATCGGACACATGTTGTGTGTTTTGTGCCCCATTCAGTTAAAATCGTATTTTCGTCCGATTTTATATAAATGGTGTACCACAGCCTCTATATATCTTTCGATTTGCACGAAATTTGACATAACGTTCTGGATTAAGTCTGGAGAGATGTGTGCTAAGTTTCATGAAAATCGGTTCAGATTTAGATATTGCTCCCATATATATCGTTTCGTCCGATTTCATACAAATGGTGCACCATAGTCACTATATATCCTTCGATCTACACCAAATTTGCCACATCATACTGAATTGAGCCTAGAATGATGTGTGGTAAGTTTCGTGAAAATCGGTTCAGATTTAGATATAGCTCCCATATATATTTTCGTCCAATTTTATATAAATGGTGTACCACAGCCTCCATGTATCTTTCGATTTGCATGAAATTTGGCAGAGCGTACTCAATTAAGTCTAGAATGATGTGTGCCGAGTTTCGTGAAAATCGGTTCAGATTTAGATATAGCTCCATATATATTTTCGTCCGATTTTATATAAATGGTGTACCTCAGCATCTACATATCTTTCGATTTGCACGAAATTTGGCATAGCGTGCTGAATTGAGGCTGGAGTGATGTGTGCTAGGTTTCGTTAAAATCGGTTAAGATTTAGGTATAGCTCCCAAATATATTTTCGTCCGATTTACACGAAATTTGACAGGGCGTACTGTAATAAAACTGAAATGATGTGTGTTAAGTTTCGAGAAAATCGGATCAGATTTAGATATAGCTTCCATATATCCATCCGATTTAATATAAATTGTTCACCAAAGTCCCTATATATCCTTCGATTTGCAGGAAATTTGGCATATCGTACCGAATTAATCCTAGAATGATATGTGCTAATTTTCGTGAAAAGTGGTTCCGATTTAGATATAGCTCCCACATATATATGTTCGTCCGATTTTCGGAGAATAGTGCACCGAACGCCTAATGTTTGTCCGATTGATACGAAATTTTGCACAACGTATCATATTGAGACTAGAATGGCGTTATAGCTTCTATATATTCGTATATTATTGAGATTTAATTTTTAATAGTGCGGCATACTGAAAAGAATGTATCAAGTTTGCTATTTCCACAAAATTGTCCCATTTTACCTAAACGACTTAAATCTGAGTTTTTGACATATTATTGCGTAGAAAATGATCAATTTTGGTCCAAGTTTCGGCATAGCCCCATTATTATATATGTTGGGTAATTTCAATCGAGTTCGCTCTTATTCGATATTTGAGGTTGTCATCTCATTCGGTGGCAAATTTTCCTACCTAAAAGTATAAATATCGATCTTTAAGTATAGCCTTCATATATGTAGGTTCCCTACTTTTTCCCAAACGAAATTACTATATTTTATCATTACGCAGTGCCTGTAATTTGGCGTTCCGGAACCTTGGGGGTAAATAACATCTTCACTGAACAACCAAGTCCTTGTTTATAATTTTTTCTTTCAAAATTATTCAACAAATGTATACTGAGTGATATATTTTGTTCTCCAAATTTCAGGAATTATCTTAATTTCATTATTGAAGAATTGAAGGACCCTGTTAAGAATCTACCCCGCGCCATTGCCATTTCATGTATATTGGTTACCCTCGTCTATGTTTTGGCCAATGTTTCATTCTACACAATTTTGTCACCCGATGAGGTGTTAGGATCTCAGGCTGTTGCCGTAACCTATGCCGAAAGAGCTTTTGGTGTTATTGCATGGACCATACCAGGTAACCTCTGGAAAATGTTATAATTCTGACTTTATTAAATCAAATATTTTTTATTGTTTCAGTATTTGTGGCTCTTTCAACATTCGGTGCTGTAAATGGCATTCTGCTAACTTCATCACGTCTCTTCTATGCCGGTGCCAATGAGGGTCAAATGCCTGAAATTCTAACTATGATTCAAATACAAAGATTTACACCCACACCAGCTGTTTTGGCCATGGCTTTGTTGTCGATGTTATATTTGACAGTATCGGATATTTTCGCTCTAATCAATTATGTTGGTTTTGCCACGTGGGTAAGTAGAGGAGGAGTTCTAAAAATCAACCCAAATGAATAATAACCAAACAAATCTTCCTCATATTCTTCCAGTTAAGTATTGGTGTTGCCGTCTTGTGCTTGCCCTGGTTACGTTGGGCCCAACCCAATTTACCCCGCCCAATTCGTGTACCCTTGATCTTCCCCATTGTCTATTTGTTGGCCACAATTTTCGTTACCGTCGTACCCATGTATGCCAGTCCTGTTGAAACCGGCTATGGCATTTTGATGATCATGTCCAGTATACCCGTGTATTTGGTATTTATTGCGTGGAAAAATAAACCAATGTGGTTCCAAAAGACTATGGGTAAGTTGGCTAAGTAGTACACACAATTAATATATATTTCATATATATAACCAAAACATCAACTCATTTGCTCATTGGGCTTTGTTTTTTATCTACGAAGTGAAAAGAATATTATTCCCATATATTTTATGATTTTGAAATCCTAACATCCCTTTTTAAATTTTTATAGGTGGATTTACTCAAGCATTACAGAAAATGATGATGGTTGTTCGACCAAAAAGTTCCTCAAAGGTTTTTATTTTTTTATTTATTTACAATTATTTTTCCTAATTTTTGTTTTTGTTCCTCTAAAATTTTATTTAATTTGTTTATCCCTATTTTTTAATGCATGCAATCTCCATCCTGTCTTTTTATGCACAATTTGTTTTTCTGTTTAACTTCTTTGTTATTTCTTTCTTTGCACAAAATTTGTTTAACGATCACACATGTAGTATGTAGTATCACAAATTGTTTGTAGGTATTGGTGAATGGCCAACTGTTTATTCAAAATTCTACGAGTCACAAAATTTTTAAAACAACTCTATAAAAAACAATAAGGACTATGGGTATATTAAACAGATGCATCCCAACAGACGTCGCATTTTTTTAAGGACCATCAACATGAAATTGAATGAACTAAAATATGTGATCTTTATCTAAATGTGAACCGATTTAGATTAATCTATAAACAAGTCATTCATTTATTACCCGTTGAGTATTTTGAGCCCAATTAACACGAAGTCGGTCCGAAATATATATGGGCTATGTCTGTACTTCTACAAAACGGGATTTTAACGAGACATGTCACAGCAGTATATTTTGTTCCTTTCGGCCACATTTTTAGTCCATGGTGCAACATTTACTTAAAATCGGACGAAAATTTATATGGGAGCTATACCCAAATCTGAACCGATTTAAACAATCATGGGACCTATACCTAAATCTGAACTGGACCTAATTCATTACGCAATGATAAATTTAGTGCAAGTTAAAAATAACATAGGAACTTTGGTATACCATTTACATTAAATGGGACGTAAATATATATGTGAGCTATATCTAAATCTGGACATATTTTCACGTAACTTAACACACATCATTCTAGACTTCATTCAACACGCTATGCCAAATTTCGTGCAAATCGAAAGACTTTGGTACTCCATTTATCTTAAATCGGACGAAAATATATATGAGAGCTATACCTAAATCTGAACCGATTTTCGAAATTAAGCACACATCATTCTAAGCTGAATTATGTACGCTGTGCCAACTTTCGTGCAAATTGAAGGCTATATAGGGTCTTTGGAGCACCATTTCCATAAAATCGGACGAAAATATGTATGGGAGCTATATCTAAATATGAACCGATTTTCACCAAACTTAGCACACACTATTATAGACTTAATTTAATTCGCTGTACCAAATTTCGTACAAATCGAAAGATATATGGGAACTATCTATCTATAAAATCGGGTGAAACTATATATGGTAGGTATATCTTAATTCGAACCGATTTTCACGAAAATTAACACACATCATGTTAGATCCGATTCGGTACGCTTTGCCAAATTTCGTGCAATCGGAAGCTATATCTAAATCTGAACCGATTTTCACGAAATATTACACACATCGTTCTAGACATTATTCAGTACGCTATGACAAATTTCGTGCATATCGAAAGATATGTAGGGACTTTGGTACACCATTTACCTTAAATCGGACGCAAATATATATGGGAGCTATATCTAAATCTAGACCGATTTTCGTAAAACTTTGCACACATCATTTTAGACTCAATTCAGTACGCTATGCCAAATTTCGTGCAAATCGCTATATCTAAATCTGAACCTATATCTAAATCTGAACCTATTTTTCCCAATTTCAATAGGGTTCGTCCTTGGGCCAAATAAATAAGCTGTGCCAAAGTTCATCCAATTCGAATCATAAATGCGACCTGTTCTTTGTTTTCAATTTAACATGGACAGACAGACAGACGGACGGACATTGATACAGTGAAAATGTGCCTTATCGAAATATTGGTTCTAAGCCCCATGTTTCTTTGGACCAAATCCATTTCAGAAATTTTTGATTTCATCCAAACATTGCCTACCTTATAATTTCTTCCAAACTTAGTTCAAGTTCGAAGACGGGGAATATCGATCCACTCCTTCTGGTACACAGGTGCTAGGCCTATGCCTAAATGCGCGAAACATATCGGATAACTACTTCAATATAAAAATAAAAATATTAATAATTTTTGGTGGGGAGATTTTTTACCATATACGACTACAAAATACCAAATTACTGCGAATTCAGCTGAAAACCGCGCTAAAGAACCCCAAAATACCGAAAATTGGAGGGTACCCTTATATGGGGACTACCCGAAAAAATGGACCTATATATAATTTTTTGTAGAAAGATTTGGTACATATTAAGAACTCAAAATACAAAATTACAGGCAATTCGGTTAAAAAATCCGGTCAAAACCCAAAAAAAAAAAAAACTAAAAATTGGGGGGTACCCTTAAGTGGACCGATATTTATAATTTTTAGTAGAGATATTTGGTACCCAATAAGAACCCAATGTACACAATTTTCAGCGAATTCGGTAGAAAAATGCGCTCAAGAACCCCAAAATTTAGCACTTTTAGTGCTAGATTTAGCACTTTTTAAACTCGTTTAGCACCAACAAAATTGATGTAGCACCTAGCACTTTTTTTAGCATTTTTAATTTGTTCCAAGATTTTTTCAAAATTTTTAGTATTACTCCAAAAAAAATGTAGTTTCTCGATTTCACATCGACACATTGAAGTTTCCATATGCTTCACATGTTGGATTTGATTTTCCAATGTTTTTTCTAGTGAGCGGAACAGTATAGTCGCACGGGGCTATCCCTATGATACATTACGAAACTACCACAAGACTTACATTTTCTGTGAAACTAATGTCCGTGTCGGTGAGAATTTGGGCGAAATATCCACCTCCTGGTGTTGTAATAATACATTATCAGAATATAACATGTAAAAAACTATGTTAACGGCCGAACTTTTTATAACTTTTATAACTTTATAATAAATTACAGTCAGCTCGATTGGAAAATGTGTCCAATATCCCCAAAATACGGAATATTGGGGGGAGCCTTATAAGGGGGCTAAACCAATACTTAGACCGATATATGACATTTGCAATACCAAACATCCAAAGAGTACTAGCAATGCAAGCAGCCATGTTTTTTCGTTAACTAGATTTGCCTTATTTAGAAAAAAGATTTATCCTCTAAATATCATCCATTCAAAACCGATAGATGCCGCACTTCAATAAAACCGGAACATTATGCAAAATTGTATACCTATAATCTAGTGCGGTAATGGTAATACTAAATACTATTAGAATAGATGTACCCCTGTAAATATTTACGTATAGCTCCCACACCTGGTCTCTGCCCTTCTAGAATAAATGTGAAGAGCATATAATGCAATTTTTTTTATTTTTTCAAATAAAAGTCTGGGTCAATTTGACTTGCTCAATATGCTTATTCATTAGCATTTTCCCCATGTACAATTTTGTGACCTCTACAGAGACCAGAAACAAATATAAAATGCTTTGGTTGACTTCAACAGCCAAATATTGACCGTTTTTACTAAAAACAATAAGTGTCTTCACTGGCCACAACCGGATATGCAGAATATCGTGACAATTGTTTCACAGCTATGACCGTTACTTTGTTTACAAATGTTAATGGACATACGAATAGTCACCTACATCTATATCGACTCAGCTATTCGTGATATAACTATCCGTATACCAAAATGTAAGTCCAGGACCAATATTTCGTCTTAGAGTTTTACGCTGATCAAGAATATATATACTTTATAGGGTCGGAGATGATTATTTCGATGAGTTGCAAACGAAAAAACAAAATTAATATACCCTCCATACTATGGTGGAGGGTATAAAAACGAACCCAGTATCGTCATCGTCCTACTTTTGTCCTTTCCTCATTGGATGAGTTTAAGTTTATGTGGCTCTTAGAATTTTGAATTATTTTATTTTTAAATACTTTGTAAATCGGTCTAAATGTTCTAATATACTAATATTTATACAAATTTATATGGATACGCATGGTGATTAGTACTAGACAACAAAATTTAATTACAAATTTCTAATAAGTTTTTTTTTCTTTAATTCACAGTAAGTCTTACCAGGTTTCTGCAGAAAATTCTCATGGTCCTTGGAAAGACTAAACCAGCTCAGGTGTAAAACAAAATAACAGAATTTGGCAAATGAAAACATGATGATGATGAACAATAAAAAAAAGCACAGAGAGAAAAAAGCAAATACAATAATAAGGAAGAAAAGCTGCTTTCACAAAACGAAACAAATAACAACAAAAACAATAAAAACACAAAATGGCATTTACATATATAGTTTTTTTATGTTAACAAACTAAGGCTTTTATTATGAGTTTCTTTTTTTTATTTTTAATTTATGATATATAGTTTTTGTAACTATGATTAATTTTCCATAACAAAAAAAAAAAATATGAAAACGACAATATGTGATTATGATTTAATGAAAATAGATAAAACAACAAAAAACACAAATTATTTTACAATTAATTTCCCCTCCCATAATATCATCATGACTATTTTTATATACATACATTTAAATGCTTTTTAGTTATAGTTTTAAAAGTTAAGTTAAACCCTAAAAACAAAGTATGGTCGAATAAAACAAAAGAAGAAGAAGAGAAAACAAGAAGGATTTCCAATTCTCATATGTTAATTTATTTTGTTATAAAATAAATGCAAATTCCATGAAAGCATTACAAATGCTGAACTTAACTGCCATTACCAAAAGAGAACTCCTACTTAAAAACAACAAACAACCTTTTTAATGAGAAATAGCATACAAAATGGATTTGGATTTGAAATATATATACACCTGTTAAATGGACCACATACATTTAGGTATATGTCCTGAAACAAAAACCCCATGCCGCTCGAAATGAAAAAAATCCCACATCATTTAAAAACATCACAAAACATATCCTCAAAATAACCACAGATACCTTGAAATTTGCTAAAAAAAATTCGAATTGTAGTTGAGAGAAATTGAGAGGGAGAGAAAAAATTATAACATTTTTTGTTTGTTACAAATATACATATTAAAACCAATACAAACAGCAATAATTATTTACATAAAATACACATAAATGTTTATTTGTTATAAATTGTTAATAAGATCTGTTTGAACTTTAAAAATAACACAAGAACGAGAGAGAGAGAGTGAGGGAGAGAGAAAGCAAATAAAATATGAAGATTTCATCAGAGGCATATATGTATATATAATATGTTGAAAAGGGTTTGAGCATATCTTTATTAATCACAAGATCATTAAGAAAACCAGAAATTGACAAAAGTTGGGTACACTGCATTCGGATACTATTTTCCCAGGATTCTTATAGTCATATTGCGCAAAAACTAAAATGGATGCAATATGGAGACCCACATCAATTGAAAGGTCTCGAAATGTACTTTAAGAATATATACACCTTATACCGAAGAAAAAACTTTGCTAAACGTATTTTCTCGATTTTCCAGTGACAATGGGGAGTCTGTGTAGAAAACGCCATGTTGTGGAAAAAAGTGGGGACTCTGTGTAGAAAACGCCATATTGCACAAAAACTAAAATGGATGCAGTATGGAGACCCACATCAATTGAAAGGTCTCGAAATGTACTTTCAGAATATATACACCTTATGGTGTATATATTCTAATATTCTAATTCTAATGGATTTTCTCGATTTTCATTGCAAGTCTCAGTGACAGTGGGGACTCTGGGTAGAAAACGCCATATTGCGCAAAAACTAAAATGAATGCCGTATGGAGACCCACATCAATTGAAAGGTCTCGAAATGTACTTTCAGAATATATACACCCTATGCCGAAAAACAAACTTTCGCCTAACGGATTTTCTCGATTTTCATTGCAAGTCTCAGTAACAGTGGGGACTCTGTGTGTATGGAGACCCACATCAATTGAAAGGTCTCGAAATGTACTTTCAGAATATATACACCTTGTGGTTTCTCCTACAAAAATTTCCGTGAATTTGTTACGGTAGCCAGGCGTATTACGGTACAGTATCAAATTTCGGTAGTGATTGGCTATAATTTTACTATCTGAATATCCGGTTCAAAAATTTAAAAACCCCGTTCTTTTTTCTTCGTTTTTTTTGCGTGTTTGGTCTTTTGTCAAAAACTTAACTGTTTTACATGGGCTTTCGACGTTTCTGACGTATGTATGTCATTTACGTCACTGTTACTAACGGACAATCTCTGCTATCAACATAAGTCCATTATTCCAAAATTTCGGTAGTATAAAGAGTTTGGAGACGATTTCAACTAATGTAACAGTCTTTTTTATCATGCATTCTCTTTGTGCTTGCATTATTCGGTATTATGGTTACGTTTTTTACCAAATTATAACTAACCAGTGAGCGGAGCAGTATAGTCGGACGGGGCCGACCATATGATACCCTACACAACTTCCACGAAAATTTAAGATTCTGTGGTTCTATATTCTGAGCCTGGACAATATGTCGCGATATTTGCACCCTCTTGACGATCTAGAGGTCAACACATATTACTAATATTCAGTACAGTCCTTCTGGCCAACTAGAGGTCAACAAATATTACTAATATTCAGTACAGCCCTTCTAACTACTTGCGCAGATTCCATTCACGGTGGGTTGTGTTGTGATGTTCGGCTTTCAATTGTGGCCTATAGATCGACTTGAAAAGCACCAAAAATTAAATGTTCGGTCCAATTCATCCCAATATTATTATCTGATCATCACCGTAAATTATAGGCGTTGTCCTTGACCATATCTGGATCCTCATGGAAAATTTCAAAGCGATCAGCGCTATATTTTCGCCCTACAGTGTTGTAATGGGATACTAAATAATATATTAATGCGTAAGCACCCGTAAATATTAAGGTCTAACTCCCACATCCGAATACATACGACAATATAATTGGTATCAGTTTAAAAGTCAACCACTCCTCTTGGATATACTATCAACTTCTCGGGCGTAGGTCCTTCAATATTTGGTATTTTTGGCGCGTATTTTTACCTATTTATCTCTAATTTTATATTTTGACTTATCATTGTCCTACCAAAATTAGTCAATATCTGTACACATACATCAGTAAGCCAAAATTTTGGTATTTTGATAATTTCAAAAAATTTTTCCACCCGGTCATTGGTGTCAGTCGGCGATGGTGCCAAAGCTCGCATTGTGGTAGTGCACAATGATTCGTCTTTCTTTGTTTGGGTTTTAAAAACTTTGAGAATAATTTCTGGTCTTTTATAATAACACCATCTGATAATACATTCTGGCCCTCTATGACCTTACACGCTCTTACTCTCTGGCCGTTTAATACAAATATTTATGGGCCTGTAAAAACTATATGAAGACCTTAGACTCTCTATGTGAAAACCTTCTTCTGATTTTTTTTAATACCTCGTGGTCTTCGATGAGAATATATGTTGACCTTCTACAAGAAGACCTATATGAGAACATATAGGGAAGACTTTTTGGACTTTGTTGAGAATATCAAATGTCTGACCCCTCTGGCCGTTTAATACAAATATTTATGAGCCTATAAAAACTATATGAATACCTTGGATTCTCTATGAGAAAATCTTCTTCTGATGTTTTTTAAATACCTCTTGGTCTTTTATGAGAATAGATGTTGAACTTCTACAAGAAGACCTATATGAGAACATATAGGGAAGACTTTTTGGACTTTGTTGAGAATATCAAATGTCTGACCCACAATGAGTAGGCTTTCTGGTACTCTATGAAAATACCATTTGAATTTCTATGAGAAGAACTTCTGGTTTTCTTTGATAGCACCTAATACCTTCAAATAGTAGAACAACTAGTTTCAATTAGAATATGTTCCGATCTTCTAATCTAGAGCACATTTGGCCTATAAGGAGACGAATTTATATTCCCTTATAGAAGATATCGTAGGTCTTACCCGTAGTAACATTCTCAGCTACTCTCCAAGAAGACCTTCTATTTTTCTGTGAAAATAATTATAAATTACCATGAGATAATTAAATCAACATTATAATTAAAATCAACCATGTATTATTTTAGCCATCTAACATAGTGTTCATCAGAATACTATCTGACCTTCTATAATTCGATTCTTCGGGGCGAAGGTCTTACCTCATAAAATCTTATATCCTAATTAGAATTATAAGAAACCTTCTATGCCCTCTATGATAATACATTTTGGTTCTTTAACATTTTATGGGATGAACCTCTAATTTTTTAATGAGAATACCGTCCGACCTCTTAAATAAAGTCCTGAACTTCTTATTAAATGTCTTTTAATAGACGACCTTTGATCTTTCTTGCCCTATATAGAAGGCATTGTAGATGTTACATATAGCAACATCTTCGGTGATCTATAAGATGAACTTCTGGTTTTCTTTGAGAAAATATTCTGATATTCTATAAAAGGGCTTCTGATGGAAGGTCTTCTACCCTTTTCTGAAAAACCCCTTTGACGTTTTATAAGAACGCTATCTGCCCTTCTGTAAGATGATATCACCTTCTGGCTTCATCTGAGAAAACATTCGGATTTTCCATAAGAATACTTTCGGGCCTCTGGCCTTTTAATATTTTATGAGAAGAAATTTCGATTATCAATTAAGATCTAAATTAAATGAAGATAACACCTTCAAGGATCCTTCAGCATAATATATATATATATATATATATATATGTACGAGGGCAGTTCGGAAAGTTCTTAGCCTAGCACAAAAAACGCGGTATGCACAGAAAAAAGTTAAGTGTTTTGAAAACTTCCGTATCTGTTATGTTTTCAAAGAAAACTAGAAGACGACTTTCTTGCCCTATATAGAACATCTTCGGTGATTTATATGATGGACTTCTAGTTTTCTCTGAGAAAATATTCTGATCTTCCATGAAAAAGGCTTCTGGCCTTCTAATGGAAGGTTTTCTAACCTTTTCTGAAAACCCCCTTTGATGTTCTATGAGAACGCTAGCTTCCCTTCTGTAAGAGGGTATCACCTTGTCTCTTCGTCTGAGAAAACATTCGGATATTCCATGAGAATACTTTCGGTTTTCTATGAGTATACCCTCCGGCCTTTTAATATTTTATGAGAAGAAATTTCGATTATCAATTAAGATCTAAGTTAAATGAAGATAACACCTTCAATAATCCTTCAGCATAATATATATATATATATATAT